TTTAGAGGAAGCATCAAAATTATTCAGGCCTGGGATGGTGAAGACCCAAACTAAGGTAGAGGAAGCGAGAATGAAGAAAAGCTAGTCTAGAAATATTAAATCAAATCCACAGGATTTGGTGATTTGTTCGTTATCAGGATTTGAAAGGATTAAGGGACAAGGAAGGGTCTAGGTTAGCTCTCAGTGGAAATGATCAGTCTATAGCTAGGTATATGGGTTTAAAGCCAGAAAGGCACTCTGAGTTGGATGCATGATTAGTGTCATCACATTATAGGTGGGAGTTAAAATTGAATTTGTAGAATTTCAAAAACAAAGTGGTAATGCGAAGAAGTCTAATTTTAGAGAATCTTATTTCTAACTTATTTGGGTTCACCAAACTGAAGTTCCCTTGAAGTAGGACAGACTAGCTGATTTTCCCCCAAAAGTCTTCCAGGGTGACATTATCTTGGTTCTTAATTTCAGAGACTCTGAAACTTGTAATCAGCATGCTGACTTCATCTGCCTTAGTGCTGAGACACATTAACTAGCTTATGAGACTGATGTCTAAAATTCTCGGTTACTCATTTACAATTGGAAGTATAATTGTCACATAGTCTAGAATACTTGTGTGGCACAGCCACAAAGCCAAAACATGGTCAGAGGTTTGCATGTTAAACATGGAATCAGAACAGAGAAGTTAATGAGGTTAGATCAACTATCTAACAGTATTAAGCTAAATAGATGGCACTGTTGCCTTACCAGAAGAGGTTCTTTCTTCTCACATGAAAAATATTTAAGGGCTGTAGACTATACTGCCCTAGAACCACCTGCATGATAATGAATGCCTTAACAATGGAGGTTTTTAATTTGCTGCAGTTCCTACTACTCCTCTTGGTCTCCTGATCACAGAAGACAAATACCAGTTCCACTGGAAACCAAAAATGTTGATATTGGAATACAAAAGCATCTTATGCCTATTCCCCTTTACTTATGTGCTTCATCTACCTGATCTCTGAGGTCATTTGAGTTCACCACTCCTAACCTAAAGGATGGTCTTATTTCCTAGTTACTTGGGCAGTGGAAAGGCATCACACTACAGTAGCCATGCATTAACAAGAGTGGTATGTATGGATGAGATGGCACAAAGTGAGAAGATCAGAACTAACTGTGATTAGTTTTTGCAGCTAACACTTATGGGAACCAGCTGCTTTGACTTGCAAATCATATTGTAGGTTGGTTTCTTGGATGGAAAATTTTGTAATTATACCCTGTAGAAGCAGGAAAAGAAAAGGCTTCCATGGGGTGATATAGGTTGGAGTAACTAGTGGTCATTGGTGTACCATTGCTGTTATATTCATGTTACTTTCTTACAATGGGTTCTCAGCCTTGGGATGGACATTGATTTACCAACACTAAGACGTAAGGCCTGATAAAGCTGCTCAGATGGAGAAAAAAAAATCCTGTGCATTGTCTTCCTATATTCTCTCCTGAAATGATTCATCCTTTCCATTCCCATCACTACCTTTCTGGTCTAAGTTTTAGCTCCTCTCTAGGCTCACAGCATTTAAATTAGATCTCATGCATGCATGGCTGCATGAGAACCAGTTAGAGTTGTTTAAAATACAGATCTCACGATTCTAATTTGGTGGGTATAAAGGAAGGACCCAGGAGTCTGCATTTTTGAAAAGCTCTCCATGCTGAATTCAGATGTACAATCAGATTTGGGATACTCAGAAGTTATTGCTATGAAGCTATAATGGTACCCCTTTTACTTTCTGATTCTTTTCCATCTAATCTGCTGCACATTGCCATTCCCAGGGTGAAATTAAAAACATGTATACATGTGTGCTCCACAGTGGCCTGTTAGTGTCATTGCCCCGAATAAAAACTTTTGATAATTTCACATAGAATGAGTCTGATAATCTCCTAGCAAGTGTCCTTAAGAGTGACGCCTATAAATTCCTCATCCTTGTGATACTTAGTGCAAAATCATCCCTATAAGAGACTGTTTATCCATATGTGGGGGGTCTCATACTGATGGGTGAGAAAGGTGAGGATTTGTAAATAAAGTTGGGTTTCACTTTTACAAATACTTTTGGTATAGATGGCTACATTTACTCAATTTCTACAAGTTCAGAGGGATTTTATCTTTTCATATCATAGTAGGAGAATTAATAAAAATATTTCATTTTTAAGCATTTTTTAATTATTCAGGCAACAGAATAAGTGTTCTGCATGTATTGTTTCATTTAATTCTTTAGTTCCAGAAGGTAGGTGAAGACATCTCTAGGTTGTAGTTAACAAACTAAGGGTCTATAATTTTAAGAGGTTTACCCAGAAATCACGTAAGTCTTAGGTGTTGGAGCTCAAATTTGAACCTGAATTAGTTTGATTCTAAAACTTGTGCTCTGTGAAGAAGTTACTTGCTTTATCTATTCTCTCTTTCTTTTTTGTTCTTGGTCACTGAATATCAGTATAAAAAACAATAGAAGGTCATTTCTATTTCTCACCAGTTTTTAAAAAGAACAGGGTTTCCTAAGCTTGGTAAAACCACATATCTCTTTCTTTCCTTTTTCTGACAGATTTTATATGATAAAATGATAGCTTTCTTTTTCTTTTAACTGCAGTTTTAGAAAACTGTGAGCCTGAGATGAAAAAGCAAAAGCCATGACAACTGGGAAGACGCTGGTCCGAGAATACCTGATGAGACTGGGCACAGTGGCTCACGCCTGTAATCCTAGCACTTTGGGAGACCAAAGCGGGTGGATCACTTGAGATCAGGTGTTCGAGACCAGCCTGGCCAACATGGTGAAACCCTGTCTCTACTAAAAATACAAAAAACAAACAAACAAACAAAAAAACTGGGCGTGGTGGTAGGCGTCTGTAATCACAGCTACTGGGGAGGCTGAGGCAGTAAAATCGATTGAACCTGGGAAGTGGAGGTTACAGTGAGTTGAGATTGCACCACTGCACTCCAGCCTGGGTGACAGCACAAGACTCTGCCTCAAAAAAAAAAAAAAAAAAAAGAGTGCCCAGTCAGCTCAGGACTTTGCTTGCTTTCTACATTGCTTATCAAATGGTTTGAAGCCACTGTGCTACTGGTGGCTTTCTTTTTCACCTGTACCCAAATTGTAAGAGGCAAGTGGCCTTGGAGCTGGAAGATCACCAGTATGTGTTTCTTTCTTAAAAAAAATAAATAGTCACTGATAAATTATAACACCTTGCCTAGGAAAGTCATGGGGTAAATTAGGAAATTCTGTTACCAACTTGTTGGAAATCGTAGCATATCAGCTAGTGATCAGCATATTGAAAAACAGGTCCTCCTTCACTGTTGTCATTTTGTTCTTGGCCAGCATGAAGAACCTGGTGGTGATGATAAAATGTTGGGATTAGAGCACAAGTAGATGTGAGTATTAGATCTATAATTTCTAGGATATCTAGATACATATTCTTTGTGTATGTATAGATAGGTATTCTGTGTCACTAAGAAAACCTACTCTATTACAGAATAAAAACTAGGAGAATTCCTTTGACTAGAAAGATGTTCTTTTTTAATGCATCTCTTTCCTACCAGGAGGTTATAGATGTGAACAGGTTACAGGTAAACAGCTGTGTGGGTAACATTTATGAATCTTGCATTGGGAAGGATGGTCGCATGATCTTTTACCATAAATGATCTGGATTTAAGTGAAACCTCTGATGTAGTTAGCAGTCAATTCCTGGAGAAATGGGACCATATCTTAATTATTTCTTGTATCTCTAATACTAATCATAGAAGTGGCACATAGCAGGCATTTTTGTAACCAGCTGGCTCAATTTTACAGCAGTCTGATCAACTCTTTGAGCTTCTGTTACTGTAGATAGCTATGCTGTTGATCCATATGCAGGATCTCTGATACTCTGCATCTCCAACCCATGGGCCCTCTCTGTGCCTTTAATTTTGATTTGTTGAATTGCCTGAACAAATACCTATTCATGGTTAAGGCACAGACTATTTATGACTAGGATGATAGAATAGAGAAAGTTTACTCAAGTTGCTGTTGAATCTTTTTGGATGACAGGCTTAATATTTCAGATTGACCTTGAACATAATAGATATTAATAAGCAGAGTTAAGACCATTGGTGAAGTACAACTTTTAGAAAACTAAATATAACATGGGGGCTATGCATTTGTATGTTTTGGGGGGAACTCACTGTGAGTCAGCATCATACTGCTTTATTTTCTTAATTATTGGGCATCCACTGCCAGTTAACCAGAGGAGCATAACATGTGGGAGCTGCAGGGTAACATTTCCAAAATACTTAGCATTAGTCAGATATGTTTTTAGAATTTTGTATCCATTTTGGCTGAAGGAAAATGTGGAGTGTTTGTCAAGGGTACAGAGCATGGTAACTAGATGCAGAGGAGCACTGCAAAGTAGGACCCATTGGAAGAAGCTAATAAATAAGAATTCATTACTTAGCGTGATCAAAGGCAGAAGAAGGGTATTAATTTAATGGTCTTCTGTTGCATGTATAGTTATTGTGTAGAAGATGATATAATTATTTCCATTATGAATGGAATTAGGGAAATGGATTTACATTAAAGGAGGTTTTGAAGGGGCATAAAGAATTTCTTGATGCTAAGGACTGTTGGATAGTGGAAAGACTTGTCATCTGGAATTGTGAAATCATGTTCCTTACAGAATAGGAATAGAGTGGGTGCTCCTTGCCAGTTAGAGGGAGGTGCAGTTGGGGTAGTAATTAACAAACTTTCCAGATCCCAGTTTGTACTACTCATCTCATATTGTGTTTGACATTTTTGGAGAATAAGTACCCCATTTTTGTTTGTATTTTTTCATAGTTATTGCAAGTATGAAGACCTTGCTTATTAATGTTTCTATAATACATTTCAAGCAAGTATGAGATTAAACTGCAAATTGAAAATTACTTCACCTGCAAATTCACTGGCTGCTGATTCTTGTATGAGCCCTTACAATGTTGTCAATTCCAACTTTCCTTTCTTTTGCTTCTTTAGAAGATTCACTGCCTGCTGTACTCGCTTGTTCTACAATGAGTGCCAAATCTGCTATCAGCAAGGAAATTTTTGCACCTCTTGATGAAAGGATGCTGGGAGCTGTCCAAGTCAAGAGGAGGACAAAGAAAAAGATTCCTTTCTTGGCAACTGGAGGTCAAGGCGAATATTTAACTTATATCTGCCTGTCAGGTAATGAGAACCAGATATTAATATTATTAAAATAACTTCTATTTTAAAACAGTTAATTCTGAGGTATCCAGGAGGTTTACATTCAGGTCTGTAAAAGGTTTTGTAGGTATCTGCACTCTCTTGCTGCTTTTCCCTGTTTCTCTGGTCTTCCTGTTTACTGGTGACACCTCTGTTTCTGAGGTTGCCATGTATTGGAAAGGTAGTGAAGTTCAATTCGGATGTATTTTCCAGTTCATTAAGAGCTTTTGTAAAATGTTTCACAGACTTGTTTGTCCATACTTGCCTTCACTGAGACACTGACAGAGAATGGGCTATCCTCTGGAATTCTCTTTTTAGAACAGTTCCTGGTATCTGGATAATTGTCATTACTCACAGCTTGACTTTCATTAGCTTTGTTTTTCTAGACAGTTGCCAATAATCAGTAATCACTTGTCTTAAGATAAATATTGGCACTTTGTGGAATGTGATAAGGTCGATTCAGTTCACAAGTCATTGCTTTGCCTGACAGCCATTGCCTTGTCAGGAAGAGGCATCTGTTTTATTAAGCTTAGACTCTTGTTGGGTTTTTTTTTTTTTTTCTCTCTTTCTGTTTGTGATTATAGGAGATCTGTGGAATTTACGATGGATTCGTATTAAGATTGTTGAGGTAAAATTTGGATAAATTTTTCATGGAGTTATGGGTGATGCTAATCTAAACACCTGGGGCATTTATGATATTTCTGATAATATTTCTTGTATGGAGTGATGGGAGATTTAAGCTTACTTTAGTTTATCTTTGTAAAAAATTTCCTTCAATTGTAGTTTTGGGAATCAAACTTTACTTTTTTGGACCCCTTTCTAGCTTTCTAAAAAATTAAACCTTTGATCATTTATCAGAATTTATTTTAGGGTAAAAGTAACTTTTCTTTTTTTTTTCTGAGACAGAGTCTCGCTCTGTCGCCCAGGCTGGAGTGCAATGGCCAGATCTCAGCTCACTGCAAGCTCTGCCTCCCAGGTTTA